ACCCCTGGCGGGTTCAGTGAAAGACTGTGGTTGTACTGGGCTGCTCTGAGGTATAAACACGTGTCAATGTAAAGCAGGAGAATGGAGGTAAAACTCTGCAAATCCTCCTGATAAAAAGAGGGAAAAGTCTTTAAAGCATAAAGCTCTGAATAATAGAAAGACTTAACATCGCTACACTTGACAGAAATGCAAATATCTGTCATAACAAATAGAAATTTAAAATCCACATTATCTGTGAAGTATACTTTTAGCGATCTATGTTTCCAAACTGCTTTCGGAGACTGTTTTTATATATTTCAGCCATTATGTTGACATGATTCATACTTAATTATTATTATTACATTTTTGTGAGAAAATGTGACAATGGCCATTTTGATGAGTAAATCTTATAGGATACAATACATATATTAAGCATCTCCCACCCATATGGAAGTGAATGGATTTGAAGAATAATGAAAGTGTGTTCAGTAAAGAAGAAACGTCCTCCAGTGTCCTCCAGTTTGACATGCTGGAGGTTAATGGAGTGTGATTCTGATTCTCAGTCAGCATATAGGCGTTGGTAAAGAATAGTGTCTCTATTGGTCTTGTTGACCTGCAGGCCCTGTGTACAAATATTGATTTGTATTCAGTCCGAGAAAAGCATACAACTTTGGGATAACACTTCCAGGTAAACACTCTGCACACCAGATATCGACTTAGTCAAGACACCTGAGACAAGGAGCTACAATCAGGAGTTCAATAAACGAGGACACAAAAACACCTTGGGGTTCTTCTTTCTTGTATGATGATAGGTTACCATTGTATGTCTCATAACAAGGCTTACAAACCATTCACCAGGTAGTTCTACTAGGCACTGAGTGAGTTTTGTCATGAGTTTTTTTTTTTTCCACTGAACATTTTGGTTCACTCGTGTGTACAAAATTGGATGTGTGACTTTCAGTCATCAAAATTAACCTTTTCAAAAAAGGTTGTGTTTCTCTTTTAAATGTTAGTCTCACTTACAGGTTCAAATTTAGCCAATTATAATATCTAACAACTTTTAAAAAATGGAAATTGACACCTTTTTATCACTAAAATTAAACAGCTTGTACCCAACAAGTAATTACTGAGTCATAACTGTTTTTAACCTACTATCTGCCTGGTATAGCTGAACTTAGGGAAAATGCTAATGTTGGCTTATTAATACAGGATGACTCATTTAGAGCATGAAATATAGATGAGCGACCTGTGGCTTTTTCGAACAGCTTAGTTAATATGTTCTAAAAGCTACCATTTGAGTAGCGCTACAGTCACACTTGGGAAAACAGGGATTGAAGATTGTGATGAACAAAACTAAAGCAACCTTGTGCGGTGAGCATGATATCTTGTTGCCTTTGAAATGGTTCTTTCTGTCTGTGACCACTCACAGTCAGCTGCCATCTTCAAAGTGACTTTGGTGCGTGAAGGCCGAGATAACACAAGACCAGTCAGTCTGCTGTTAGTTTGTGATTGAATGGAGTCAAGTTTGCAATTATACAAAATCGGTTTGTGATAATACGGTCATTAACTGTGACAAATCAGCAGAAATAGAGCACTTAAAACTGAAATTCATCAATTTAATTTCACAAATAATGACGTAGTTGCTGTCAGTTGCAATTTAGCTTCAAAATTACATAAAGCTCACATAAATGCTCAGTAACCTTGCTTTTAGGTACAAATATAACCAGAATACAACCAGTTGTCCCCCTACTGCAAAGAGATGCGTCTCAGATGAGTCCACTCTCATTCTGTCTGGGTTTATAGATTATTTTTCTAAATGCATTAAACAGTCTTACAAATAATTATAAATAGTAATGGACGGTAACATATATAAAAAAAACAAAATGTTATAAATTGATAGCTTTTATGTAAAAATTAGAGACTGTTCATTTCTTTGTAAGTGGGCAAGTGGTGAATGGTGCAAATGTATAAATGTTTTCTTTATGTATCTAATTCAGTCTAAATATAGAATTAAGCTTAAATATAGAATATAGAATTAAACATCTCTCCTTTATTACATTATGGATGGTAATATCTAATATTTACATTTATTCAGTTTAAAGTTTCCTAGTTCTACAGTGCAGGCCTCATATTAGATGCAGCGCCAAGAATGCACCCAGCATTAAAATTATTAATTAGAATTAAAATGTTGATTTTTTTTTTACCATGAAGCAGAGAGCCCAGCTCAACACAGAAACCTGAAACATGTGAACTAGAATAGAATAGAATAGAATAATCCTTTAATTGTCCCACAAGGGGAAATTTGGTTGTAACAGCAGCCAAAAAGACAAATATACAAACAAACAGTACACAGGACACGGAACAGAAACATACACAATTTTTCTTACATATTTACATTAAGGACAATGGAACTAGCTAGCAATGCTAGCAAGCCCAGTTAACGAGGTGTGATTGCCATCCAGCCCAAGCAAAGATATGATTATACTTACCAAAACTGAAGCAAAAGCTTCTTGGATGCGCTGCACTTCACAGCAAGACATATGATTTGTTAGATAATTCTATTAAAAGGGACCAACACCACATTCCTGGTCCATTTTTTGAGGCGAGTTTCATTTTTCAACCCTGGAGGTTGCTGCTTGATCTTCACTATATGCCTGTAAGGGCAGCCAGTGTTGTCATTGATACTTTTGGGTATATTTTCTAAGACTGTGTCGTATAATTTCCAAGACTGTCTTGTGCAGTTTTACAAAAGACTAATTTGAAAGTAGCTAATAGTCAGTAGTGAAAGAGCTAACACATAAACTTGGTGCTTTTAATAGATATTCGAGAAGGTTGCAGATGAAGGACATATAGAAGAAAACAAACAGAGGCCTCTAACTCAGCAACTAAATTTGATGAAATGTACAAACGAAAGGACGCTCTGAATAAATGCCCAGGAAGGAGTAGACTTTTGGCAAACTGACAAATCTTATGTCTCTTTGAAAACATCCACCAAGATTCATCTGCTACGTCAAGCTGACACACAGAGATTGTGTTTGACTTTCAAAGGAAATGTGCAATGAGCGCGCTACGGAACTAGGAGGTAATTAGTAAGACTTGAGCTGAGTTTTTTTTCTCGATACTTAAAATGCCACGCAGCACTCACAGCTGAAGGCACACAGATGTTGGAGCTGGTAAATGGAGTTGGGAAAAGAGCTTATTATGATTAAATGAATCTGATTGTGTTGTAACCCAGAGGTACAGATAGGAGGAACCATATGAGGGTGAATGCAGCTACAAGCTAAGAGGTTTTCCTAATGATGATTTCAGAGCCTATGGCACGTCTGTCTGTGGATTTTATTTTGTCCTAAGCACAGAAAATGAGCCCAAAAGAGTTGTTGACTGTTTAGCTTGCTGGCCTGCTTGCTGGCCTGCTTGGTTGCTGGATGGATGGATAGATCAGTGAATGCATGGATGGATGGGTGGTTTTGATGATGGACAGATGATAGATGTGTGTCTGATATGCTGCGGGAGTGCTTTCACTGACTTAGAGATAAAAACCTCAAAGAGGCTTAGAATCCATCGTATTTTATCTCGACAGAACTGTCAAGATAACAACAGCAAAGGCCAAAAACTGAACCAGATAATACAAATAAACGACAGCAGGAAGTGATAGGGCAACAGAATGCTTAGAATTAGTATTGTAAGTAGTCATTTGTATTAGAATGCTACAAATGAATGGTGATTAAGTAGGATTAGGACATAAACTAGAACTATGTAGACTGCTGTCTGCTTAGTTCTATATGGCAACAAACACACTAAGTGTCTATTAAAGGCTATTAGATGTTTACTCTTGGGAGTTAATTAGTAATCATAATCCTACTATCTTAAGCCTTTGTTTGGAAATGTTGAGAGTAATCTTTACCTCAGTAAAAAGTAAAGAAAAACATGTACTCATCATCCAAATATTTTTATGCAGCTTTCACCACATTTGTTGTCTCGTGAAATCAGCACATGGCCTGAGTATTGAACTTTAATCATGTATTGGTTATGACAGATAGGCTATTTAAGCACTTTAAGCTATTTTCTGATTGCCAGTAAACTTTTCTGGCAATCAGAAAATAGCACTAAAAATGTCTCCTGCAAAGGTCAGACCACCTGCACGTTAAAAACAAAAATCTGTTTCTAATACACTTAAAGCGTTCACAGTAATCACCGTAAGTGATACTGCACTCATATTCTGAGCTGAAACTTGCAATACTTTGCAGCTCATTCCCACATCGGTCTTATTCAACCCGACACGGCCATGATTAAAACACAGTCACTGACACGAATGGGAAATAGATCTTAAAACAATGCCTGCTAATGGAAGCTGATGATTAATGGGTGATTGTCTAATCGATTAATATCCACCCTGAAAGGATTTACAGCAAGGGGAGACTTCATTTCATGTGCTGCTGGTTTACAGACACCAAACTGCTTCAAGCTGATATGTGCTATTCTTCAACTGTCCCTGCCTTGTGCAGATCTTCGAAACGCATGTTTGCATGCCGCTATGTTGAATTTAATCACATTCCTTAGAAGCCACATGAACGCCTTTACCATGATGGCGCATAAGTGTGTATTCAGCAGCTCTCTTATCCCCTTGGTTGATTTATTTAAAAACTGATTAAATTCCACATTCAGCTCCATGCTGTGAGACTTTGATCCTCTGCTTAATGCCTGTACTTCTGCAGAGAAAGGATTGCTGTTTTATTTAAGAACAAAAGGGCCAATTTATATGATAACCTAAAGTATTTCTGTTGCTTCAATGCATACAGAGCTGTCAGCAATTTTTCTATATTGCATCAGTGTCAACATTCAGCAGCGCAGCTGGCATTCATGAAATGTTAAGCCCAGAGTATCAGTTACATGTATGGACAGTTAATCCCCAGACACCAGGGAGTTGTGTTGATGACTGAGTCTTCTTATCTCTGTCTTAGCTGCAACATTTCTGTTTGCAATAAAGATCTCCTCTCCCCTCTCTTCTATTCTCCTCTCAGGTTGGAGGACACACCATGCTACCTATTCGCTGGATGCCCCCAGAGAGCATCATGTACAGGAAGTTCTCCACGGAAAGCGATGTCTGGAGCTTTGGAGTCATTCTGTGGGAGATCTTTACCTATGGGAAGCAGCCTTGGTTTCAGCTGGGTAACAACGAGGTAAAAAGCGCCTGAAGCACGATAGATAAACCTTCACAAGATATAGCACACACACATATATTATCAAAGGCTGAATTGCAGAATCTCATGCACACACTGGAAATTATAGCTCCAGGTCATCTAGTGGTAAATGTGAAAGTCTACTTTTCCATTTCCAAACATCAAGTAGGGCAGCTTATTGCAAAGCACATCAAAATCTTTCCCCACATGTCGTCAGCGGTGGGGAAAGGCTGAAATCCCGAGCTCGCTAATAGCAGATTTAAATGACCACTGCTATTCTGGATCTTAATCTACTGCCTCGTGTTGTTTCTTCACTCTTTTTTGAGGTGATAAATTGATGCCCATGCCCACATTACATAACGCCCGTGAGCGGTCTGTTTTTTCATTGAAGTCTTTGCTTTAAATCAATAAAATTCAATTAGGATTACGCTTGTAGGGTAAGCCCAGGCATTACAATAGAATAGAAATATCAATAGAAGTGTCAATGTGCTTTTGGGCTTCATACAAATTTGATATTTTCATATTTTTCTGCATCTTGCGCAGAAGAAGTTTTTAGGCATGCTAAATGAAACACTCGGCTGATTAAACTGTGATGAGATGAGTGCTTTATTATATCACAGCCAAAGAAGGTAAATTGTTTTCCAAATGTAATTTTGTACGTACAGGTAGTACAGATGAAATTCTTGTACTTGTTATTCACTTATTCACATGCCTATTATTCAGTTGTTGTCATTGTTTAAGTCGTTGAAAAATTACTGCAATAATTATAAATGAGCATTAGTGACTCAAGTATCACCTGGGTGCTGTAGGAACATGTTTCAAACAGGCATCACACTTCTGGGCTCCACTGGCTCCACTATCATCCTCTACGGAGCTACACCGATCAGCTTGTCTGCTTTTTTTTTTTTGTTTGATTGGTTGGTTTTTTGATATCTCTAAATACAGCGAAGAATAATATATGTACTCTATACAGAGAAATACATTCTTTAGCAGAGAGTGTGATGCATTTTCTGTGTCAGACATGTCTCAAACAGTTATTCTGCTTAGTGCCCGTTAACCAAGACGCCCGTTTTTAGTTTTATATGTGATAGCAAAATGGAATAGCAGGTTACCCCATGGTGTCATGGTCTGTGTGCAGGCTGGCAGGAAAAGGACCTGATATGCAGACTCACGGAGATTCAAAAACCACAGCTTTATTGCTGGCAAACGCAAAACAAAACCTAAACTGTGAGAGCTAGAAATGGGGCATGAAAACAGAACACACAGGCTAGTACTAGAGACGACGCGACAACGAACGGGAACACATGCAGACACTAAATACAGGTGGGGAACAGGGCAGAGAGCAAACACCTGGGAAACACGGCTGAAACGAATTACAAAGGCGAGATTGGGAGGAAGCAAAATGGAATACGTTGACCTTCAAAGTAAAACAGGAAACAGACTGAGCACAGAACAAAACCTTAAAACTAGAATACAAAAAAAGAACTCAGAATACAAGAAGTCATATTCAAAGGAGAAATCATAGAATAACAACAATAATACACAAAACACTGGGTCATCGACCCAGGACCGTGACACATGGACCATTAAATAAATGTTGGTGCTTGAATTTAAGTAAAAGCTGTAAGAAATATTTAATGTTCTGGGTACCATGTTTGGTATGATCTCTCCAGTTAAAATAATGAATATAAAATTTTTTGAAGAAAGAAGTTGGTAGGAAGCAGAAAACTAATACAAACCACTCCAGAACAAGGTGTTCACACTTTGTTTCTCACTTCTCCAAAATCTCTATCATGGAAGTTGTGAGTGTAAAGCAGGGGTAGGCAACCTTTCTGATGGCGAGTGCCATTTAAAATTTCCTCAGAGGTCAGTGTGCCATATGATTGCATTAGCAATAAATTTAATAACGCTCTATATTAACAGTTACATACTATATAGAACCACTTTATAGAATTATATTTGTTTGCAGATGTTGGCAGCTATCAGCAAATAGTTATCAGCTATTTTGAAACAAAAAAGACACTTTTTTATCCATAACAAGAACAGCAAATGGACTGTACAACAGAAAATACAAATGCTATTTATGGTCTCCTCACAAGAATGATAAGAAAAGTAAACTAAGCCAATATGGCACGTCTGTTAATACAGAGACACACGAAAATAAACTCCACCTAAACTTGGTTTATATCTGACCCAGATAGACTGCAGGTGATAACTTCTTACCTGAAGTTCAGTTCACCTGACGCTCGGACCGGCAGCCGCCTCAGGTCTCTCCTCGTCCTGCCTCCGATCTCCCTCATCCACGTGCTGGCCTCCACCACTTGTTAATTTTACTGAATCTGTGGAAGCTCCGCGATGCCACCACCAAACAACTGAGTTATTTTTACACACCGGCCAGCATCTGGCCAATCCACCACCTTTCATTGTTTATACCGTTACAAAAAAAAATAAAAAATCATCGGGCCACCAAGCAAATGCCCGGTATGCCCGATGGCCAGTCCAGCTATGGCCGTGCCATCAGTTAACCCTTGGCACGCGTGCCTAGGGTTGCCGACCCCAGGTGTAAAATTATCATGACCCACAGTAGACACATTATTGCAAAATAAACCATAATTCTCATTTAATCTGCTATGCAGAAAGCAAAAGGTGAAAACTACACTGCGTGCTAAATTGATGGTCAAGGATATTATAGCCAACCTGCTCTGTTTCGTGCAGCCCCTCTTGTCTTGGCCTATTAGCAGCAGCTGATCCCAGTCCAGCCTTATTACATCTGCCCTCACGCTTATCTGTCCTCTCAAGTTGCTTATTATGTGAGGGGGTTGGAGTTATGCTTTGTACTGCGATCAGAGACCCCAACTGTGATCATAGAACTAGGGTGACTAATCACACCCTTGTTTTCACTTTCACTTGTCTATTAGTACATGTTATCATATTTGCAAGTATATGATGTATGTACGAAGGACGCGTGCTACAATCTGAATCGCAGATGGGAAGTGAGACTACTCTAGGCTCTAATTGAGTCCAAGTACTATGTCAAGGAAAAATAAAGGTTGTAAATCACCAAAGCCCTGCAGAATACATATTATCTATATTATCTGGCTTCACTCACCAGAACTGTAACAATAAGTGGTCACACAAAGGTAGGCGTCAGCTTAATAAGTCACATGAAAGGGTGCAAATAACCAACCAGAAACATTGACAGGTCTACTTACAACAGAGCAGCTGACTTGACAAACAAAGATAAAACTATACTATGGGAAGAGTATGAATAATTTAAACACTTAATAAAGGCTGAAAACAACACAGCTGCTACAGCCAAAGCAGCAGGTTGTGAATGTGTGTGGTCAGTAAGACTGGAGAAGACCTGATATATTAATAAAGTCTCGCTTATTTGAAGCCAGAGAGGGAAGCTGAGAAAAATGCTGACTGTGTAAGTTAACAGATTTATCGATATCACAGCTCTATCATTACGACGCAGAGGAACCTGATGGATTACAATTGTTATTCCATTAAATTAATGTAGCTCCCATGATGTTTAATAACATCAAACATGAGCTTAGTCTCTGTGCAAATTTAATAATAATAACTTTATGTGCATAGCGCTTTTAAAGCACACTTTTACAAAGTGCTTTACAATTTGAATAAATGCCGACACATAGTTAACCATATGGTCTCAGTGTCATCCCAGTATATACATGCATGTATTTATATAAACTGTGGCCCAAATTAGTGGGCAAAATCCTTTTTTAGCAGATTTAGGCGACCTAATACGATGAGGAGGACTGTTCCAAAGTTTAGGTGGTTGTGGTTTTAAAATAGTGTGGATCAATAAAACAATCCTCATTTTTCTTTATCATTAACAACAAAAAACAGGGGGGGGAATAAAATCCAAATGCTAATAAAAAGGTTAAGATAGACGGAGGGAAAAGGAGGGAAAGGAACAAAATCAGAAATTAAAACCAAGAGACTAAACATGAGAAAACTAAATAAAAGAGGAAGTAAAACAACAGAGAGACAAAACAGACTGAGGGTGTACTCACACTAAGCATGGTTGCCTCGTACCAACACCGAGTGTGTTTGTCCCATCTTCCCACTGCCTCGCTGTCCTGTGCTCAAACTGCTCTTTACATGCAGACCCAAGTACACTTCACTTTGTTTCAACATCTCAACTTCGCTTCAGAGAGCACAATGAGCTTCATGATTTTATGCATTTTGTAGCTTAATTGGAAGCGGTGACACACTGGCCTCTCGCATGCGTTACAGATTTGCTATTTACATAACACAGTGATTTTCACAGGGCCAGTCACTGTCACTGAGGAAGCATTCCAATACCAATCACACTACTTGTGTACCGTGCTTGGGTCTAACTGAGCAAGGCTCATGTCTTCAGTTGGACCAGAGCACAGTTCACTTGACTGCAGCCGTGCACACACCAGTCACATTACTGTTAGAAGTAGAACTGGTTTTGGGGATTAAACACGTGTACAGTGCACCATAAAACTAAACATAACTGAGAGAAAAGAGAAAACCAGGAACGCAAAGAAAAAAACTGAACCAAGAAACAAATTAAGGACCCCAAAAACATGACATTCCCCCACCCCCTGCAGTGGCTCTATGCACCACAATTAGAGAAGCACTGGGTGGATTTTCCAAAGCTACTGCTTGATTGCAGCGCTTGCGATTGTGGAATTATGCATAAAGGCTCCAGTCAGTCTTAAAGGTAGCCCGTCCGCATTTGGAGACTCTTATCATCTGGGGATGAGACATGACAGACGGAATATAACCGAAAGTAAACAAACGGTAGAACAATAGATCAAGTGTGTCCCTCCTGTCTTGTTCTAATAACGTGTACTGCTGTCTTGAGTAAAGTCACATTTATTTAAACACAGATCAAGTTTGTCACACGTTCCTTCCAGAAAATTAGGCTTTAGATATCAGTAGATTATCAAATCCTTTGTTCTGACACTGTTGTTGTGCTGCAGACTTGCAAGAGCGTGAAATTGCATGACACCATAATATGCCTTACGGGGAAAGTTTCTGTTTTCCCTCTTCAGCTGTGTTGTTAATTTCTACGCCTTGAAAAGTGAAAACTTAAAAAAAAAGATGTTTGAGATAGTTTTGATTAGTACACAAGTGTGAAGTGTAAATAATGTTAAGAAATCACAGTTTCAATCATTTTACACAAATAGATCGCTATCCATTCTTTTAAAGTACAGTGCCCTGAAAAATGAAGCCAAATTATCACGACAGCAGTGAGTCATCTGGCTAATTAGTGCACAAGCACAATAGAGAAAAGATCAATCAGCCTTTTAACAACATCTAAAACATCCCAGCCCCACCAAATAGTCAGTATTATTGTTAGTTTGTGCTGTGGGACAGAAAAAAAAAAAAGTCTTGTTTCCCTTTTATTATTGCCCAAATTTAGGATTGAATGTGTTCTGTTTATTTCTTTCATCTCAGTTTCATTAGTTCAAACCTCAAAGGACATTTCTGCTCAGTGTCACCGCTTTCTCATTATGAACAAACCAAAGCAATCAGTGAGTGAGAATCTCCTGTTTCACTCCACTGCCCTGTCTCCTCTGTAGGTCATTGAGTGCATAACCCAGGGTCGCGTTCTGGAGAGGCCACGGATTTGTCCTAAGGAGGTTTATGACATCATGCTAGGCTGCTGGCAGCGGGAACCACAGCAGCGACTGAACATTAAGGACATTCAGAAGGTCCTGTTCGCCATGGGAAAAGCCACGCCGGTCTACCTGGACATCCTGGGCTAGCAGCGGCCCGTGAGTGGCCTCGCCAGACGCAAAGATCGACAGAGACATACAGACAGAACGACCCACACGGATCCAGGAATAACCAAACCAACCTGCTTCACTGTCGAAAAAACACCTGCATTGTTTGGGAAGGACTTAAGTGCCTGCAACACTTTTGGATATAGTGGATAAAACGTATTCAAAAAAACACGCACTTTTACATTTTGTTTACTTGTGTATAAGATGTACAGGTTTGAAGAAGACTTTTTGTTTTTGTTTTTCCTTGAAAAACTGCAAAAATACACAAAAATGGAGACCGAAAGGAAAGTGGACTGGCAGTAGGAAGGGGCCGCAATTTGATTATATTATGGAGAGAAGACATCAGAGTTCAAATCTATCCTAGGTTTGGTTTTATGAATATATATAGAAATATTACATATATTTTATATTTATTTCTTTTTGTCAAGGTGTTGAAGGGTCTCCCATGTGTGTTGCTAAGGGCTTGGCCCTGTCTGAAGACGCCACCGACAAACTATTGGCAGGGACTTGACGTTGGAAGCCTTACTTGCACTCTGATTGGCTGGCTCTGAGCTCATAAAGGGAGCTCTTTGGAATAACACTGGATGGTTGGAAAATAGCAGCGCTCTGTAGAGGACCTACCCAATCAGACAACTGACAAATCTATTTTAATTTAAAGATAATGTACATATTGTAAAATTCTATGTGTCAGAATTATGTTAACTTATTTTTTCCGATGTTACTTTGATTCCTTTTCTGACTGTGATCTGGGTGGCTAAAGTATAAAGCTATGGTATTTGTTTTCATCCTAATCCAGAGGAGATTTCCTTGGGAATTACTCGTGTCAGTGCTGGTTGTCTAATGTGGTGAAGGTGAATGCCAGTGAATACAATGCGAAAAGCCCACTGACACCGAATCAAAGAGACTTTGGCGAACGTGGGATGACTCAGAGCCATGGTTCAACATGACACTTTCCAAAGAGGTGATGAAACCTCGGATTCACGTTCCTTTTCATTTGCTTTTTATGGCAAGAATTATAAGTTGGTTAGTAATATCTCACGCCTCAGCCCTCAAATACACATACACATACACACGCTTTGTCATATTCAAGCTTTTTGATGTAAAACTGCTTAAAAAAAAAACAGCGTTTTTGTAGCTTTGAGTGTATTCATCATTTGTGAGTCGCAGGGTTGTTGTCTTGAATTAAACAGCCTATTGTATGTGTTAAAGGAACTATTTGACATTTTGACCAATATGATTGCTTTCTTGCTGAGAGTTATAACAAATGCAGCTTTTATATCTTATTTTTTTAATATGTGGCTAGAGGTTTCAGCACATGGTCAGCTTAGCTTAGTAAAAAAAAGCATCAGCTAGTTAAGCTTTTTGAAAAGCACATTGACATTTTAACTAACACATATATTTATCCTGATAGAGCTTATATGTAGCTTTGTGAATAATAAGTAATGTTTTAACTGAAAAATAGTTATATAAAAAGCTTTTTCTTTTAAATCGAATATTATTTATTCAGTTTCTGTTCTGCTCTGAATTTTATTGCTAGGCCTATTTCAGATTTTTTTTTTTTTATTCAATCATGAAATTGTAATGGAAAACCTGCCAAGTAATTTTTATGTCCCAATTTAAGCCAAATATACCCAAAACTGCTACTGATTTACAAAAAGGAAAAAAACTGCTAGAGTGAGTAGCCAATTAGAAACAATTAAAACAGTGAACCCCAAACGTCAGACCACTCACACTCAGATTAAAATGTTAAAATCTTATACAGTCGATGTAAAACTTTAATCACATCTCTGGTCATTACACAAGTAGAACATTCAACATTTCTTTTCCATTTTCATGGATAACTTTTGATGTTTGTTGAACGTTATTCTCCATAAACAGCTTCATTTTCAAAATTAAGTTCTTTCAACTAATAAGATATAAGAAGCATCCAGGATTAGAAAGAGGTCAGAAATGAAGAATAATAGCAAACCCAAGTTTTAAAAAAAATCCTTAACAAAGTCAAAAGAAAAACTTTAATAGAAAAATCAACTTGAGTTTGTAACCAGTTCCTTGGATTAAAACCAGAAGGATTATTATTTGAGTTAGCCTATATAACAGCACTTTATCAGGTAAGTTTGTAGAGTAGGTTTAAGTACTTTGTTCACATGTAAACACCCTGGAAGCTGTTTTTCACAAACTCAATTCTCTTAAAATTGTAGTTTAAATTGCCATTTAGAAAACACTTGTGGCCTCCAGTGTCTTTACAGTCGACACTTTGTGAATCCGGTGATTAGACCAATTTGTTATGCTTTTAACGATAAATTTAGTTGTTTAGCTTATTTACATATTAACATATTAAGTATGTTCAACATTCATGTTATAGCTGCAAAAACAGATTTTTTTTTAGAAGAGTCAGTTAAAGCCATAGCTAGAGTTTTGATTGATAAACATCAGTACTTTTGAAGACTTACAAACTATGTAAGTCATAGCCATGCTGCTTTGCTAGTAAATTTCTGCAGACTGTAGCAATGTTCCTTACATTGTAACAAATTTTAAAATTTAAGGTTTTAACATATGTGTCATAAAATGTGAAACATTTCTCAAAAATACAGTTCGGTGGAATAAGCTAATTGGGTAAGCTACACTGGACATGGAGGGTTAGCTAATTAGCACAGTTAGCACATTTCTCAAAAATACAGTTCGGTGGAATAAGCTAATTGGGTAAGCTACACTGGACATGGAGGGTTAGCTAGCTTTGGTTTCTTATGTCTTGATTGTGTTCAACTGAGGTTATTGGCCAACTTTCTTTCTCCCCACACTGAAGTGCATTTTCAGATGTTGGGAAGCTAATTTTGTTGCAAACAGCTATTCCCTATTTCCAGCGTTTGAGCCAGGCGAAACTCACAAGCTGTTGGTGCTAGCTATACATTGTCAATACCGATATGAGAGCTGCATTGATCTTATCATCTAACACTCAGCAAGAAAGCAAAATAGGATATTTTCCCCAATGTAGACCTCTTATTTTAAAATATTATAGGTTGATGTCATCAGGATCCTATCACTATACACGCTGTTAAAAGAAACACATTGCATTTTTATTACTATTATCATGATTTCTCTTCCATCAGCTGCACAAGAATGATGTTGGCTGATTAGAAAAACACTCCTGTTACAATTACAGAGAGGTGGCTGCAGCAGGCGGATACTTGTCTTAATTTTTGGACTGTACACGAAAAATAATAACCACTGAAGTGGGTCAGCTAATTGCAGTTTTTAAAAATAATTACAGTATTAACTTAAAGAGAAAATACGAAGAGTTTTGTTGTAAAATCTGATCCAATTCGACTCAAAACCTACAACCAAATAGATATTACTTTTGAAAAATCTCATAATTAAGTGCTCAGTTGACAAAATGAGTTATTTCTATCAGAGTGGATCCTGAAGCATTCTCACACACTGAATGATAAACCTCAGGCAACTATTTTATTTCATGTTGTATCTGGATATAGAATGGTTTACAAAGAAGCTCTTCACATCTCTTCCTTATTATCTTGACATGAATTCTCACAGTATCACAATGTTGTCTCTGTTTCCCTTGGGACTGTGTAAATCATTAATGAGCATTTGGTTATTTCAAGTATTTTGTATGAAAGGCGAGATCCAGTCCATTGAGTTACCCAAAGCATTGAGTTTTTGTGTATTCTCTTGTGGTAAAGATAAACGCTTAAAGACATTATGACACAGACCGTGAGCGTTTGCAGGGTATTGTAATCCTTTCATGGTGAGTTGAATATTCTTTAAAAAAAGTCTTTCTTTTTTTTCTTGGATGAACTAACTGAACACTTTTTGAAGCAAAGTTGGCATATTACCATGTACACATGTTACAGAATATTAAAATGTGGTATAACATCTACAGTATATAAAATACTGGTATTCCATGATAGATCTTTGTATTAATGTGACTCTCTTAAGAAAATGTCTTCAAACAATCAGACGATCTCTTTTTCCATTTTGTCCTGTCTTATAAAGATGTGTGAATTTGACTAAATCTTGTCTTCATCTAAATCTCTCACAAAGCTGAACAGCATGGGTTCAGTGTGTGTCTGTGTTGTCTTCTCCTCTTCTATCCATTGTTGATGTGATAGAAGTGATAGAAATATGTCTTTTTCTCAGGTAATTTGGTATTTCTACACGTACATAGTTTATATCCTTGGATACTACAGGATGAGTCCAAGGGGAAACCTTGGGGCTTTTCCATAGACTCCCATGTTAAAATGTCCAACTTTACAACAGGAAAAAAAAACCCCACATGTTTACAGCCTGGTACAAAAAACAGTTTTTGTTTGTTGAGTTTATTTTCCTTTTCATGACAACTTAACAGGAGGTACATTTCATTTCATATATTTTATTTTGTGCTACAACATCCAACCAAAATTATTGCAACTGCGTGCAATGAACTTGGGAATTGATTGCCTTTGAAATAGTGGCTCCAAAGATAGGGACCAGGTCTGCAACCACTCGCAGTCAGTTGCTGTCAGAGCATCTCTGATGTGTCAAGAGGATAGTAATAAGACAGAGTCAGTCTGTAATCAGTCAACTAGATTCCACTGAATAAAACCAGGCAATTACATACAATCTGACAATTAACTGATAAACTAGTAAAAATCACAAATTCTGTTCCCATCTGTTGTAAACCAGTTTAAATCTACATACACAAACATTCATATTAAACAGTAATTCACATTAAAGACTTAGTGTACATTCAGCCAGATCGTCATCGATTTGAAACAGGGACTCAGAAATTCCTCCACAACATATTTGCTGCAGGACTGCAATGTCACTGCAAAATAACACAGGCCTTGGCAACCTTGCTTTTATATAGGAATATAATCAGAATCTAACCAGTCGACAACCTGACAGTTATTTGCAGACAAGTTGTGCTCATTGATCAGCTCTGATTGATTCCAACATATTGGCAATCAGGTTTGTAAATTAGATGGCATTTATTTCAGTCACCTTAAATACTTGCAATCAGTTGCCAAATGAGAAAAGAAATTCAATGCAGTCACTAGGCAACCATCAGTTAGTTGCAAGGAGGTTGGCATCCTATTTTAACTCTGCTGTGACTGAGTATTTTATAATTATTTAATAATTAAATTTAATAAGAATTTAATGATTTTCTGAATCCAGACGTGATCAACATAAGCACAAACAGTATGGAAGATGCCACATTATAGTAAGAAAATTTTCATCAAAATATGCACCAACAGAGCCAAACTTAAGTTTAAGCCTTAACTTATATTAAGGTTAGAGGTCACCATAGAGACCAGCCTGCAAGCATATTAATCCCTCAGCTTTTAACAGGGAGTCTATGAGGATTGACTCGTTTTGGGGTTAGCCTCGTGTCAGTTTGACGAACTGTGTTGGCTTAGTTTTTCTGCGGATTGCTTTAAATGAACCTAGTTATGTGGTTAATGTGATGGGTTATTAAGAGCATGGCTGCTTAGAGTGACAAGTAGGTCCTAACACCAACACTAGCTGTCTGCTAAGCTTTACCTTCACTAATTCCAGTCACTGAATTAGACCTCTCAACATTTGGTATGGTTAGTTGGTGACTTTTGGAGTATTTTAATGCAATTATCTAGGATTACAGTATTATTAATTATACTAACAGCCTCTCCAAGAATTCTGTGCTCTAGTTTTGGTGAGAAATGGGAATTCACAAACCAATGGATGACACAAAGGTTGAAAATATGTAGAGTTTATTGTCAATTCTAAAGCTGTGTTGGTTTACACAGTAACCAGCAACCCTATAAAATATCTTAGTGTATGTACATACACTATATATATATAGTATGTGTGTGTATATGTGTGTATATAGACACACACACACACACACACACACACACACATATATATATATATATATATATAGATAGATAGATAGATACACACACACACATACTGGCTGTTTTCAAACTCAAAGTTTCAGTTTTAGGTATTATGCTGAAAAAGCCTTTACAGTCCAATTACTTCCTGAAGTCAGTGGCATACAGACATCAGACATCAGCCGATCCTTGTATTTTCCATGGTGATGCTCTTGCAGCCTTTACTGCAGACACCTACAGCTCCTGCCTGCTGTGGAGTGTCTCTGACTTTAAAGAAGGGAATGAATGCATCTTTATCAGACTGAGATCAAGCAGCTGATATCAATGGAGTATAGTCCAGCTCTTCACCCTGAAGAACTCAAGTTGAAAAGATCTGGCTGATAGATGAAATGTCATGCAGTGAATTTTCAGCCATACATGCCCAAAGCCATAACACACACACACAAGCACATTTAAAAAAGCTGGTGGTGCGCTGGGCCATAAGCTGCTCCTTTCTTTTCCTCCATTCATTTCAGCACTTTGCAAGATGTTGATCTTCACCGCTCTCTAGAAGTCTGAAAGTTTCTTTCTTTATTTGTGAGTTCCAGTCTCAATTTATTGATGTTTATCAGAGTTGGCATCTTGTGCTGAGTCCTTGGAGGTTCCACTCATGAAATCTTGACAGTTCACAGGGAAACATTTTTGCCAGTAACCTGGAGAGCTTTGATTGCTGGCTCTTCACTTGTATAGGTTTTGGGGGTTTTTTTTCTCTTGAACATTTAAGATGATTTTGAACCTAGTCTTGTCTTCAAGCTTCTTTTCCATTTTCTGCATTTTTCTTAGATTATTTTTAAAATGAGCCCAAATGTTGCTACTTTTGATAACACTCTAAAATTTTTGAGCTCCATAATTTCTTTCTTCTTGTGTGTTCAACTTGTGTAAGCTTTAAATTATGAACTGATGGCAGATTCCAATTAGCAAGGGCTTGAAAGAGCCACACCTCCCACACAGTTCTTTCACCCTACTCAAAACAAAGGTGAAATCTGGCAATCTAGCATCATTTTACTTTAAAATTAAGTGACCTGAAGCACTGTCTGACTCATGGCTCTGAGGTCACGATGAGCTAAAACTGTTAATCTCAAACATATTTAGTTCCTCCCTTCTTCATCAGGTCAACCTTACATGTAGAGAAGAACATTTAAGACACTAAGAATGCCAAAAGCTATGATCCCTTTCAACTTTTCAATCTTATCCTACAACACAGATATGCCACAACTCTAAATAAACAGGTGAAGTGAATATGTGACTAATATTGATCATATATTTCAATGCAATCTGTTTCTGGAAGGCAACAGATGCAAGCAGTCAAATTAATATTACCATCCACATGAATATTGCTGCAGATCTGCACACATGGAAAAACTTCAGTTTTCTCCTCGAGGCTCTGTTGGCAAGTGTCCACATTAAATGACAGTGGTTTCCAGTATTGTTTTAGCCATATGTGTGCAAACAAGAAGAAAGCTGAGACACAGGCAGCGCCCAGGGATTTGAGGTCAGTAAGCAGTGTGTTATGACGATGGTACTATAATTGTGTATTGATTTACAATTACAAAGTGTTTTGTGTGCTAGGATTCAGTGTGTGTGTGCATGTGTACTCATACTGAGGTTTGGGTTTTCTGGCTGTTGCCCAACATCAGCTTGAGGAAAAGTACCACAAGTATGACACAGTACATTTTTCTTAGTAATTAAGTTTAGAAGAGTTGAATGTTTTTCCAAGTTTTAGATAACTGTGTTAGCTTTCAACTGAGAGCAAGAGCATAAGTGTCAGTTAACTTGCTGCACAAAGGTCCATTACAGGTTGTCTGCAGCTTTAATGCTGGAAATATAAAAACACCTGCATGAAAATATTGCTCTTGTAAATGTAGATGATGGAAGTTTAATTTTATTTCATCTGGCAGCTCTTGAACTATGACACCAGAACTGTGTTTTCAAATGTTTAGTGTCAAACAGCTAGCGGAGTTACATAAAGGAAGCATTATCTGTACACATGCTGATAAGAATTTTATTTTCCTGCTCAGTGAAAAAAGCCTAACAATATGAGTCACATATACAGAGAGCGAACAGTTGAATGCATGGCACACCTTTAGAATTATTCACAGTAATGATATTAATGCTATACCTATGTAAAACAATAATAACAATACACTGATAACAATAATATTATCAGTAACATTACTGTAGTAAGGTAGTAAGGGAGTCTGTAACCATAAATGTAGAGAAGCAATAACAAAATAACAATTACACGGTTATTTTGATCACATTTACATTATTGAATGATCGATCTGTTGTTATAGATCAACTTAGATTTCATATAGAAATATAAAAGAAAACAATATAGCTTTAATCGGTGTCAATACATGAATACTGAAGATAAGCATTTAGTTGATGCAAAAATTAAAAACCTTAAAAACACCAACCAAATGAGTAAAAGAGGAGAACACACAAAATCACTGTCTGTTTTACTGCAACCCAAACAGGTCTTGCTTTTTTATGGACATATGTACTATACATGTGCATATTTACAATTAATATTTCAGCTCACTAAATGCAAATTAACTTTTCCTTTATTATATGCCATCAATTTAAAAGCAAGTAAAGTCTGGAGAAGGAAATTCTTCTTCTAATAATAATGAATATAATTGATAAAGAAATATAACATTCTTTAAAACCTTTAGTGCCTAATCACTTCAATTTGGATTAATTTTTTTTAAATTCACACATTTCTATTCAGCTCTATGTAGACATGTTTAAAAGAGCTGAAGAAGACTTTCAGATTAGGGTGAAACATTTTTAAGAATCTAAACAAGCCCAGTTGCCTTTTTCTCAAGCACTTTAAACCACCAAGAATTGGATGAGAAGGAATGTCTGCAGACATAAGCAAACACACACAAATAAAAATTTATTACTATTTGAATAATCTTCCATAAAACAGAGACACTACTTTGGTCTCCACAATTTCTCATAGAATCAATTCTTTGTTAAGTATTATATAAAAGTGATGACAGATATCATGTTACGTTCATTGGTAGATTAAAATATGAATTACTGAGATCGCATTTTGCATTCTTTTTATTATTGCAAGTGTGGTAACATGTCAACAAATACAGGATAATATG